GTAATGGAAAATCAGGATCATATCTCATTATGCCAGTCTATAGGCTGCTTCCTGGGATCTCTTCTATTTCCATTTTATACCCTTTCCACAGCTGATTGCATTCAGTCCAGTGAATTTAAACACTGTCTATATGATAATGACTGTCCAATCTGAACTTCTAGACATAACCTTCTCCTGGAATTTCTGGCTTATATATTCACACCTATGCAGCATTTCCACTTAGAAGTCTGATTGACGTCTCAAAGTGAATGTGTCTCCAACCAGACTCTATTTCTTCCCACCTTAGTCTCTATTTCCTGCACCATCTCACTTATGTCAAAAAGTGAGCGCCAGCATCTCCCACATTGCTCAAACAAAAGTTCAGGAAGCATCCTAGATTCGTATCTTTCTCTTTTCCTTCACTTCTAATCCATTACTAAGTAATCTGTCTGCCTTTGAAACGCTCTTTGCTTTCACTTCTGTGTAGCTGGTTCCCAATCATTCAGATCCAAACATGGAAGCTCTGCGAGGGAAGTGATTTTTCTCTCTTTCAGTCACCAGGGGATTCACAATCTAGGACAGTAACTTGAAGACAGAGACACCCAAAAACTCTTGTTGAATGAGTGAACGCAAAAGGTATAGTTGAGAGTGGTTGAAACGGGTCCTCTCAATTTTCAGTGATTTTCTTACTTAGCAGTAAGGGGCCACCTAGCCTGAGTAAAGCATTTTTGATCATGGATCTCATTGTATGTTCCTACAACTCAGATTCCTTTAGACTTTGTATAAGCCACTACAAACAGTTTGCCTTACTTTTGGCTCCCTGAATAGTGGGAATTAAAGGAAATAAGCAAACCAATTAAAATTATCTTTTTAGAGGAAGCCCAACTTGAGAATTCTGTAATCACCACCAACTGATCATCATTCAGGGATAAGAGAGCACAAAGAAGAAGGTAAGGAGGATGGAAGAAAACAGTCTGAGAGGCAGTGTTTGTGCAGCTTAGGATAAGGCTTGTCTTGTTTTATTGAATTTGTTAATAAAAGCTCTAAAGTCTGGGGAAATGCTTCTGGGCAGCAAATGCAAAATATTTGATGCTCATATGTCTAAGGAGAAATTAATAAAATGCATTGGGGAAATTAAGTTGAACAAAAGTGCAATGAGCCATAGTTAAACCAATTAATTAAGCAGGTTTTGATATGTATATAACCAGGTTGCTGAAGAATTAAAAATAAATCCACGATTTTAAACCAGCGTTTGGTATTCAATAAAACACCAAATGGTAACATGCAGAAAACTTGCAGATTCCTTAATAGTGTTCTATGATAAATTCCTTCCTCATTCATATGCATCATCACCTTTCTTTTTTCCCCATTAATTTTGAAAAAGTCCCTCTGCTTTTTGTAATATGCAGAAATCATATGCTTTGCTTGATTCTCTTCTGCATTCACTTTATGTCAATTTCAAAACCATGTAATTTTCGTGCACTGTCAATTATAGGAATATTTATTTTTCAGTAGCACGCCTGCCGTAGTATGTCTACGGTTCAAAGGAAGCAGTGACGATTAACTTCTTAGTGCCCCTGCAGCCTGGCGGGCGTGAGGCAGAATCCATGAGGCATCAAGACAGGCCGGGAGTCACAGAGCTTGAGTTTCAGTTCCAAGCTTATCACTTTAAGAGCTCTGAGCTCCTGCACAAGTAACTTAGCTCCTGGAAGCCTCAGTTTCCTCCACTATAAAAATGTTGTATGAGTTAAATATGCAACTTGCGGATGCATTTTGAATGCCAAAATTGCTTGTTTGGAACGTTATTAAATATCTGTTTCCAACAAAGATTTAAAAAAAAATAATGAAATGTTTAGTGGCAGGTTCTTTCATTTATAGTAACATGATTTCAGTCCAAAACAGTCCTAACAGCTCTCTAGCTGTGGGCGCTAACTCATCCTGATTTCCCCTCAACTTTTCTGGTTTCAGCACTGGTTTCAGTCCCTCAACCTAGGAAACCTTTCATTCCCAGACAAGCCTAATCATGATGCCTTCACTGGGCACCCAATGATAATCGTTCACACATTCATTTTTCTGCAGCATCAGGTACGTTCTTAGTCTGTGGAGATGTTAGGACAGTTCATTTTTAATAAGCCCAGAGCCTAGCAGAGGAGACACACGGATGACCCGTCCATAAGCCCTGGGTTAAATGC